CAAGGTCAAATTGTAACCCGTTGTGAAATTGAGTGAGATCATATGTTCTTTTTACTTGGTGATGGCCAATGGCCGTAAGGGTGTAGATTCGAGCAAGGTCAAATTGTAACCTGTTATGAGTTCGAGCGAGATCGAACATTTCTTTTACTCCGCGATGGCCGATGGCCGTAAGGGTGTAGATTTGAGCGAGGTTGAATTGTAACCCATTGTGAGTTCAAGCGAGATCGAATGTTCCTTTTACTTGGTGATGGCCGATGGTCGTAAGGGTGTAGATTCGAGAGAGGTCGAATTGTAACCCGCTTTTACTTGGCGATGCTCGATGTCCGTAAGGGTGTAGATCCGAGCGAGGTCGAATGGTAACTCGTTGTGAGTTCGAGTGAGATCGAACGTTCCTTTTAATTGGCGATGGCCGATGGCCATAAGGGTGTAGATTCGAGCGAGGTTGAATTGTAACCCGTTATGAGTTCGAGCGAGATCGAACGTTCCTTTTACTTGGCGATGTGCGGGCTTGGTGGAATGGTGAGATTTTCCTGTTGCATTACTTTTATTGGAGAACATTACTCGTTGCTGCATCGTTAATGCGTGCGTCGGGGTGAGTCTCAACTTATTTAATTCTGCTTTCATTGGAGAGTATTGTGCGTCGGGGTGAGTTCCAGTCTATCTAGTCCCTTCATTGACGGGACGGGCAATGAATTTTGTTGCTTGTACTTCTGGTCGCCCTGAGACTTGATTGATTCAAATGAAGTTCGGGCGTGATTCGTAATATTTAGTCGGCTGAACTGGCATAGGATTGCCATGGCGAGCAGACGTTCAAGCTTTTTTGTGCTTATGTTCTGCCTGTATCAGAGAGACTGTATGTTACATGGGCTCACTGTCCAGTCCCAGGTTGTGGAGGTTGTTTCTTAATATAGCCAGCTTGTTTTGAGCCGTTGTCTATTATTTACAGTATGGTATTGTGGAGGGTTTTGCTCGACCGTTGCCTTCGGGACGATATGGTGCGACACGTTTCCTGGCGTGTTATTTTGGTGGCGTTTGTTCCTTGTTTGCGCACCTGGGAGAGTGCTCATGTTCTTGTCCCGATCCAGAAAGAAGGAAAAATAACAAGTTAAGACCAAACGAAGTCGTCCATTACCTTGACCTAATTGGCTGGCGAGGTGAGAGGGGCGATGTAGAACGACTCATTTAGTCCCGTATTTGAATGACGGTTTCAGGTTTGGTATCCCCGTGCTTAGCTCCGTCTTTAGTCGAGTTTGGACTTCTTACGGGCTAACAACTTACCTTGTCTGTTGGGAGCTCGAACTTGAGTCCCGATCTGATCCCGTCCGAGGTGCACAAAAATAAATGAAACAAGTTATATTCCGTACATACGGGTATGGCAAACATGTTATTTCAAAGAACCACACAATAGGCTATTGTCCTTTCTAATAGGGGATGCCGTCAATGCGCATGAAGTATAGATCGGTATCTAACGTTAATATAGCAGATAGGATTGCGGACGTGATCGGTGTGTAGTGGCCATAATTCCACTTTGACGACTCATACTTATGACGTGCCAAACCCATTGCTTCGGCAAGACATGGATTTTGTATAGATACCAGACTTTGATTTCATGTCAAGATCTGAACCTTGCTGGTTTGGTTACTTCAAAAGCTTGCCTACGAAGTTCTTATGTTGGTGTTTGTAAATGAAAGGGTGAGGCTGCGACAGCCGGGGAGTGAAACTCTAGCTGACTTCAGATCTAGAGGGAACTAAATTTTGGCTAAGAAATTTCCCACACACGACGCCAAATTGTTTGACCAAAAAGTGTTAAGCTTTTTGTTAAACTAATTAAATAAAAAGATTTTAGGTAAATCTTAGCCAAAGATAATTTACCCTAGATCTAAGATAGAAGATAAGAGTGAGCAAGCATAACACACATAAGATTTAACTATAACACTGATTGAATCCCGTTATATAAAAGGAGGATGGTATTTTCATAATATTAAACAACAATTAAGAAGACATTAATGAGAAAGGTCACCTGATCTTTAACAAGGTAGAACCCCATATATTTGATATGATGAGACTAACGATATGTATTGAAGATCTGAGCTTCCTTACTTCTTTCTCCTTCGTGGTAGAGAGAGAGAGAGATGAAGATCTCTCCACCTTTCCGGAAATATGTCTGTGTCTCCATTTTTCTTCAGCCCCCCTTCTTCTTTTTATCGCTTAGTTTATGTACTAGGTCTTCTCCTTTACCCAACGGTCATTAACCATAGTACTCAAGTTTTAACTATATTACGGGTTGACCCCTTAAAATGCTGTAATATTCAATTCGCCTCTCAAGTATTTTGAATACGTGATCTCGGTCGTGGCCGAGGTGCATGTTGTTATAGCGTTGTATGGATACGATTGTCCCAAGTAACTCTTCACCGTCCCTTTCCATGCCGATTCTTGTCTGGTCAGATTTTGAGATGAGAATTTACCATCTTTTAGATTGAAGAGATAAAAGAACCAAGAAATGATATCAAAATAGAAGTGAAAATAAAAGACAACTATCTCACACAAATTAAAAAAAAGCGCTAGCACGTGTCGTTAAAATGAGGAAAAAGTAAGAACTGTAATTGAAGAGTAAAGTTCCGAAATGTCCATGACAAATATTCATAATTACAAAATTATCCCTTTTCGTACACCCTCAATTCTCATTTCTAAATAATAGTATATGTATTTGTCCCAGAGAATAGATATTAGAGCCAGCTTGCTACAACCCCTTCCCGAACAGATAAAGTTACTCCTACTAAAGTTTAAAACATAAAATAGATCTCTCATGCAGACCTTAATTTACCATGCAGTAAAATTCAAGAGTGCAAATGCTAAAAATCACTTGCCTTGCACCCAGGGGTGGCCAATGAATTTTGTGGATTAAAGCCAAATTTTATAAGGGGCCTTAATTTTTAAAATTTATTTTTTTAGCTTTTTTTTAGATGCAAATTATTAATAAGTTTTTTATATTTAATTTCTCCTAATAAGTCTTTCTCAATTGACAATATAGCTAATCCATTTAACTTTTTTTGAGACATTGTTGAACTTAGGTAAGATTTTATCAATTTTAATTTTTGAAAACTTCTTTTCACTGAAGCAACGGTAGTAACATGAGTTATTAACATTAATTATTCCATAAGCAATATAGGCATTTGGAAAAGAATCAAATCCTTTTTATTTGACTGAGTGTATCAATTAAACTGCTATCTTCTAATTGTACTATTTTCCTTAATACTTTTAATTTAAAAAATAAATCTAAACCATCAATATCGAATTGATTATTATGCTTTAAGAAACATTCAAGATTAAAGGCAATATTTTTTCAAATTTTCATCATCTAGTGATCTTAGTTTTTACCACTAAATAGAAAACCAAAAATATTTTCATATGCTTCGAATTGTTCAGATATATTTTGAAGTAAAAAAATAACCTTGTCTACTATATAAAAGTAATCAATGGTTAACGTAGGAGACATCTCTATTTTTTTCCCGGGGAATCCCACTACTTAGCTTTCAATTTGCCTATGACCATCAAATGAAATGTGAATAACCTGTCTTCTAAAGGACTTCTCGAAAGATCTTGAGATTTCATTATCAACATCCTCATCAAATTGTTACTTCCTATATATCACATGTTTCTTACGAAATTCGGGTTCGATATTTATTTCAAGTGCAATTTTCTTTGCAAAAATCATAGCAGTTGCAAATCCTTCTTTTCTATATTTGTTAAAGAAAGAAATCAAACTTTTTCACTTCACAGATTGCTTTTAAACTTATACATAACCTATTAGGTATAACAAAAAATGAGGCCTCCAAAAATATGCGGCCTAAAGCAGTTGCTTTACTTGCTTTATGGAAGGGCTGCCCGCACCAAAAACTATCAAATAGAGGGAAGAACTTTTTTCTTCTCTCTGGAACGACCCCTGGCTTCTTGGCGGAAGACCAATGAATAGGGACGGAGCCAGGGACCAAGTTACGGGTTCGGTTGACAGTAACTTTAGTTCAAGTTCAAACTTTGTATTTACTTTAAAAAATTTATTTAATATATACAAAACTACAAATTATTAGTTTAAAATCCAATAACGTAAAAAAATTAGAATATTGAACCCATAAACTTTAAATTCCAGCTTCGTCTCTGCCAATGAACTAAGAAATGAACATGAGAGCAATAAGAGATAAATTTTCATAAAAGAACAAAAATTTTGGAATATAAAATAAGGAAATCCTACGTGACTTTTCTTTTAATCGGCTAATCTTAATTTAGTTTGCACGCGGAACAACCTAGTATAATCTTAGACATTTCGATTTCTTTGATAGAAAGCTATATAGTATAAAATCCAAACGAAAATTTAAATGTCGTTATTAAAACAAATTAACCTATCTGGTCAAGTTCAAAGATTGCTTTTATTATTACTATGGTTTTGCTTAGTTTTATCAATTGCACCTATTTCAATTAGCTAGACTCCAACACCCCAAACTCTTCTTACATTCTAAATAGATGAACATAGCTAGTCTTTATTTATCTTACCCTAGTTAATTTATTTGCGCTTTGTGCGATTATAATAAAATTATTAATATGTTATTAAGTGATATTTATAAATTAATTCATACTCCATAGAGCTAAAAAAGAAACATGACAAATACAACTAATTTTTTATTTATAAAATCATGTTTGGACTCTAAATTAGTCAAACTTTTTAATATTAAAACTTAAAAGTATTATAAAATAACAACACCTGACTGAAAAAGCTTCTAAAAATATAGTAATTCACAAAAAATAGATATATGTGTTGACATACACAAAGGCCCAGAAATACACACAGGCCCAGCTCAATAGTTAGCCCAATAGCTAGTGTTTTTAGTATTTCAGTTTTGTATCAATTAGTGAGATAGCCTCTTTTACATTTGTTTGTAGCCATTTTCATGTAAGTATAAATACTGAGGACCATTCTAGAAAGGACACATTATTATTCATTTTAATAAAAGGATCAGATATTTTCCACCATCTTCTCTCTCTCGTTCTTTGAAGATTAGGGTATTTTCACCACGAAAATTCCCTCTTAGCTTCCGCAAATTTCTCTCTTAACATGGTATCAGAGAGGGACATGAGTTCCTATCCCCGCTTAACTTCATTCGATCGTACTCGTATAGTTTGCTGTTTACAATTTTAGGTTATTGAAACCCTAGCTTTTGATTTGGGGTTTTTCTTCGACTGAAACGAAATTCAATATCAGCCATGGTTTTTCGAAGGTATAATGACGGTTCGCTGGTGGCGTTCCTCTTATTTCGACCGGTATTTCCTCTTCTGCTTCAGAATTTAATCTATTTTGAAGGCCTTGTCTTTTTCGAGTAGTGAAAAAGGACGGTACTTTCTTCTCTAATCTCTAATTGCATGCTTCAATTTCTGGTAAATTTCTACTGTATTTGAGAATTTTGGATGCAAAATGGGTGATGAACATGTGAATTCCTCTAGTCAATCCGATGGCTTCACTATATTCACTTTAGATCCCTCACATCCTCTTTATATTCTTCCCTCAGATAGTCCTGGTACTCACTTAGGGGTCATTTGACACGAGGTATAAGAAGGTATAAGGGTGGTATAAAAATTTAATACCACCTTAATACTCTGTTTGGTTAGCAAACCAGTTATAAGTTATCCCGGTATTAATTTTAACATTGGGATAATGTATACCTTGTAGAAGGTGGGGTAATTAGCATCGATATAACTTATACCTTCTTCCTAGAAATTATGCAATTGTCATTCTTAATACAACATACCAAACAATGAATAAACAACAATCCCAGCATAACTAATCCCAGCATAACTTATCCCAATATAACTTATACCGGCATAACTTATACCGGTATAAATCGTATTCCAACTAACCGACCCCTTAGTATCTCCTCCTTTCGATGGTACTGGATTTGTTGCCTAGCGTAAAAGTATGTTAGTTTCCCTTTCTGCCAAAAATAAATTGGCATTAATTGATGGTCGTCAATCTAAACCTCATAATGACTCACCTTATTACCTCTACTGGGAAAGGTGTAATGATATGGTGGTCGTCTGGTATGAGAGCTTTGGTCAGTCTAACGGTTCCAAGTTCATTCAGATACAAAGGAAAATTGGAACCATTTCCCAGGGTACCTTAGACATAGCCTCTTATTTCACAAAGTTTTGTAGTCTTTGGGATGAGCTTCAGACTGCTTATGTAGGTCCTACATGTTCATGTGGTGCTCTACCCAAGTTTCTTGATGAAATGAAACTGTATTGGTTGTTGGCCAGACTGAATGAGTCATACAATACTATCAAAAGCAACATCCTCATGATTTCACTACTCCCATCAGTTAGTAAGGCCTATTCCATATTATAACATGATGAGAGACACAGGGAAACATCTCTAGCTCCAAGCTTCTCCAATGATTCTATCTCTTTCTCTGCATCCTCCACTCCTTCAACCTATTCACAAAATCATGGTGGGCAAAGATCTTTCAATAAGAAGATCCAATTTGAGCCAAAGAAACCTGGACAACCCATGATGTGTAGATACTGCAAAAAATCAGGTCATACCATTGAAAAATGCTATAAACTTCATGGGTTTCCTTCTGACTTCAAGTTAACAAAAAACAAGAGATCAGCCTCCTGTGTTCAAGCTGAGGGTACTACTTCTACCCTATTGGCTTCATCTATGGAATAATTTTCACCTGTCAACCATGGATTCACTACAGAATAATATCAACAGCTTTTTACCCTCCTGAAGCAATCACACATCTCTTCTGGAATCTCAAGTGATTCTCACTCTGGAGACAATCATGTATATGCTCACTTTGTAGGTTTGTTTTGCAGTCCTGTAGTTAAGACTGTGGATTTCCATGCTTGTGCATCTTCACAATTAAATGTTAACACTTGGATTCTAGACTCAAGGGCTACTAATCACATGACACCTCACAAATACCTTCTTCACAATCTTCAACCATTAACAAGACCTTACTTAATCACTTTACCAAATGGCTATAAAGTAAAAGTTGTATCTACTGGATCTTTACAACTTATATTTGATATTGTGTTACACAATATTCTACTTGTTCCATCTTTTCTGTTCAACTTAATTTCAATATATCAACTTCTTTTGCAACTTCATTGTATTGCAGTTCTCACTACTTCCCTTTGTGTCACGACCCAAACCGATGGGCCGCGACGGGCACCCGATACCTTACTCAATCGAGTACCAATATAACGTATCATACTATCGTAGATTACTGAGCCGAAAAGCTGCCGCGCGATAAGTAGAATACAATATAAGATACCAACTTATACATAAGACATAAGGCCTATTAGAACAAATATCCACTCGTATACTGAACATAGGCCAACAAGGCCATACAATCTTTTACGTGCATGACATCTGTCTACAAGTCTCTAAGAATATATAATTTTCATAAAGGTTGGGAAAGAGTCCCGCAATAAAATAATACACGTCTAAATTATACTAACCAAACGAAAAACTCCGAAGCAAATGGAGCGCACCAACATCTTCCGCTGAGCTGATAGCCTACTTGGAGGGCTCTCGACCTGTCTATCGGGACCTGCGAGCATAAAACGTAGCGTCCCCAGGCAAATGGGATGTCAGTACGAATAATGTACCGAATATGTAAGGTATATAAATAAGTACATAACAGACATGGAAGAAATATAGAGTAAATGACTCAACATGTAAGTCTAGATAACTCTGTAAATCATGAAATATTTATAAGGTCATGCATATATGTATAAATGTCATGCAATGCATATGTATGTACGTACATAACATCATCAAGCCTCTGAGGGCATGCCATCATATCAATTTGGCCATTGTGGGCAACATCATCGTATACCAGCTGATCAGGTGGTGATGCATATATAACGTCGTAACCTTTTTCCATATCCCATATACATATATATACATATATACACGTATATAACACCGTCTGAGTCATGAGTAAATGCACATGTAAATGAATGCAATGCATGAGAAGTACGTTAATAAAACTTCTCGGAACGTCATAAGACCATTATACCTCTGATTAATATCATGAAATAAACTTTTTTCAACTTATGTATTTTTATGAGACCTATGAACATATGATAAAATAATAGGACACGGGGAAATTCAAGAACATAGGTGCCTCTAATACTTCTATTAATAGTCATTATGAAAATTGCGCATTTTCTCGTTTCGTTTATATCGTATGGATCATGCCAAAAGAAAGGAGGGATAACCTTAAAATACCCGGAGCAGGGAAAATCCGTATAATATTCTTGGAAAAGGTTGCACCGCACTCCCTTAGAATCGCAAAATCTCATGTTGCTAATGTGCTAAAAAATCTCGTTGGATTTATTTTGTAGGAATTCGTTGAAGATTTCTTAGAAATCTCTTTGAAGACGTTAGGAATACTTGTAGGAATTGTTACTGACCGATTGTCAGTGTCTTTAAATTGGAAAGAAAATTGCTATTGTTTGATTGTAGAGTTTTGTAAGGATTCACGTTGGTATCCATCTGATTGTAAGGTATTGAAAATGTTAGAAATGGGTTATTATGTAACTAAGGCATTAGTTTGCCACGTAATTAAGAATGACCATGAGTCATTTGTTTGATTAGATCTTTGCTGCCACGTGGGGGTGGGGTGGGAAAAGTTAATCTTTATCCACTTATTAGGTAATTAGGTAACAACCCGTTGCCCGGTAATTACCAATTACGCGCATAATTTTTAATTATCTCAAATTACTTAAAATTCTACTTATTTTTAATGTACTTTATACATCCTACTATCATGGTCATATGGTACCTTGTATGGTACTAGTTCATAAATATCCAGTACTAACGCTCGATCCGAATTTTATCCCAACATGCCAAACTTGGACCGAAAATTCATTTTTTTTGACTTGCTTCCCCTCTCACCTTCACGAATTTACTCATTGTTTGAAATAGCATAATCCTTATAATCTCCAAATAATTTTTTTCTTGGACTGATGTCAATTACCTTACGACAAATTCAATGTACAATACTACAGGGTGCAACATCGTCGTAATTTAATACTGCAAAGCGTAACATCATCGTAATGTAGTACTGCAAGGCATAACATCGTTGTAATATAATACTGAGGGACATAATATTGACGTAATATTGCGGGGCATAACACATTGCTTCTTACAGGGCCCTTCTCTGTAGAGGCCACTGGGAATTGGTAAGGTTGAAAATGGATTGTATTATCTTCATCTTGATAGTCCTTTAGTTTCCTCTTTTCCATTTGATGTTTCATGTAATGTTTCATCTTCTGTTCCTATTGTTTCTCCTGTTTTCAATTCTGTCAATCCCCTTCCATTAGTCCCTCATGTAATCCATCTCTTGATATTAATAAGACAGATTTGTTTTGGCATCAAAAAATGGGTCACATGCCTTTCAATAATATGAAATCTATTCCTTTTATTTCCTCACAAATTTCTTCTAAACAATCCTTCCTATGTCATATATGTCCTATGGCAAGACAACAAAGGTTGCCATTCTCTGATAGCACTACTCAATCTACTACTCCTTTCTAATTGATCCACATTGATATCTAGGGACCTTATAATACTGCTACATATAGTTATTTTAGATACTTCATTACCTTAGTGGATGACTACTCCAGGGTAACTTGGACTCACCTAATTTCTAGCAAAAGTAATGCCTTGTCTGTACTCAAAGCTTTCACTTTTATGGTACAGAATCATTTCCACACTTCAGTTCAAACCTTCAGATCTGATAATACTTTTGAACTAGGTTCTAGTTTAGAATCCAGATCTTTCTTTTCTTCTCAAGGGATTCTGCACCAGGCCACTATTCCCCACACACCACAACAGAATAGTGTTGTGGAAAGGAAACACAAACACCTCTTAGAAACTTCCAGAGCCTTATTATTTCAATCCAACTTGCCTACTAAATTTTGGGGTGATTGTGTCCTTACAGCCACTTATCTCATCAATAGGTTTCCCTCTACTGTTCTTAACAACATATCCCCCTATGAGAAACTACATGGACATTCACCTTCTTATAATCATCTTTGATCTTTTGGATGCCTTTATTTTGCTACCTCTCCTAAACATAGTAGAGATAAATTTCAGTCTAGAGCAATCTCTTCCATTTTCCTTGGCTATTCTTGTGGGAAGAAATGATACAAATTGCTTAATATGTCCTCTCAATCTATCTTCTACTCTAGAGATGTTGTTTTTCATGAGTATGTTTTCCCCTTCTCCATTAATTCTTCTAATGCTTCCCGTCCTTCACCTTCCAGCTTTGTTGATATTCCTCCATATAGTACACCACCTGTTGTTTCTCCTCATTCTGCATCTCCACTTGTTTCTCCTCCTATTCCTCCTTATTCTACATCTTCCCCTGTTTCTTTTCCTCCTGCTGTTTCATCTCCTATTTCTTCCTCTCCTTCTCCTCCTAGTGATGTTCCAGCTTCTTTACCACCATCTTCTGCTGCATATACCTCCTATCTTCCTCCATCTATTCCTCCTCTTAGAAAGTCCCTTAGAGTGTCACATCCACCTCCTCATCTGGAAGACTATATCTGTTCTGCCCCTGTATCTACTACTTCTAACATGTCCACCACAGAATTGCACTTGCATGAGCCTCAGACTATCAACAGGCTGCTTCCAAACCTTCTTGGCAGGAGGTCATGCTAAAGGCGTTTCAAGCATTAGAGGCTAACAACACCTAGGATATTGTACATCTTCCCTCTAACAAAAAGGCTATCCCTTTCAAGTGGGTGTATAAAATCAAACAGAAATTTGATGGTTCTGTTGAGAGGTACAAGGCAAGGTTGGTCATTAAGGGTGATACTCAGAAGGAGGGAATTGCCCCAGTTGTCAAGTTCACTACTATCAAATGTCTTCTATCTCTTGCTATAAAGAGAAACTGGATTGTCTATCAACTTGATGTTAATAATGCCTTCCTCCATGGTATTCTACATGAGGAAGTTTACATAAAGGTTTCACCTGGGATACAGGTTTCCCCTACTGATTCTTCTCCATTCCCTTTGGTTTGCAAGCTCAAAAAATCTCTATATGGCCTCAAGCAAGCATCCAGACAATGGTTTTCTAAATTGGCTGAGGCTTTGTCTACAAGAGGCTACATTTCTAGCATGAATGACTATTCCTTGTTCACAAAGTCTACCTCTACTTTCTCTTACAGTCCTAGCTGTGTATGTTGATGATATTTTACTAGATGGGGATGATGTTGTTGAATTAGACAGTGTTAAACTATTCCTTGACCAACAATTTAAGATAAAGGATTTGGGGACAATCCATTATTTCCTTAGTTTGGAAGTCACTAAATGTCCTGAAGGCTACATCATCAGTTAACAGAGGTTCACAAATGTCCTGCTAGCAGAATTCCATTGCCAAAAAATTTCCCCTGTTGTGACTCCTCTTGATACTTCTGTCAAGTTATATGCTGATATGGATGCCCCCTTGACTGATCCCATCACCTATAGGAGAATTATTGGCAAGCTCAACTTTCTCCAACACACAAGGCCGGATATATCTTTTTGTGTTCAACATCTAAGTCAGTTTCTTCAAGCTCCTCAAGTTTCTCATATGCTTGTTGCACTTCATGTGCTGAGGTATCTATCTAATGCTTCTGCTTTAGGGATTCTCTCTCTTCCTCTTTTGATGTTTCTATCAAGGCCTACTCTGACTTTGACTGAGCTGCCTATGCTAAGTCAAGAAGGTCTGTTTCTGGTTTTTATATTACACTTGGTGGTTCCCCAATCTCTTGGAAAAGCAAGAAGCAACTCATTGTTTCATTGTCCTCTGCTGAAGCTGAATACAGGGCTCTCAGAAAGGTGGTTGCAGAGGTCTCATGGTTGGCCAGGGTACTGGGTGATCTTGGTTTACATGTTTCTGCTCCTGCTCCCATCTATTATGACAACCTTGTTGCTTTACACATTGCCAAGAATCCAGTCTTCCATGAAAGGACAAAGCATCTCGAAATTGATTGTCACTATGTGCGTGAGAGTCTTAATTCTGGGCTGATATCTCTGCACTTTGTCCCCAGTTCTGTAACAGAAGTTCACAAATGTCCTGCTAGCAGAATTCCATTGCCAAAATCAATTTTATCATCTAGGTATCATCCATTTAAGCATCTAGGTGTCCCTCTGGACAGAATTTTACTATGGTGCAATGGCAATCCTTGATTGAGAAAATAATAGTAGCAAAAATCTCCTCTAAAACAGTAAAAAAAAAAAAAAACATTTGCTGGTAGATCACTTCAACTGGTGCAAACTATCTTTTTTGGTATTCAATCATACTGGGCTTAATTGTGAACACTGCATGTATATGTGCTTTGTCAAAATAGTACTGAGACCAAAGATCAGTTATTTTGAGGATGTCCTTTTATCTAACCTACGTACTATGGAGCACACTTTTGAGATGGGTGCAGAGATACAACAAAGTTGGCTTCATCAACGTCGTTTCCAGTGGATCATACAACAGTCTAAAGGGAAGAAAACGATGGCCAGATTGCTTATATACACTGAATATGTGCATGTAATATAGAGACAAAGGAATTGCTCAATCTTTGAACAAATCTCAAAGAGCCGGACATTAAATGGTGGATCCCGAAGAGGCACGATGGTTTATTAGATGCCTATATGATTTTGAAACGGTTCTTTTTCACCTTTTTTTTTTAATTAATTATTAGAGAGCTGTAATGTAATCAAGCCTTTAATTGTTTGGACGAACTGAAAATCGTGAAGATTTTTGTTCATAACACCTGGGTTTCGGATAATTTTGAAACGGTTCATTTCTTCTTAGAACTACAATTAAACCTTAATTGTTTCTGATTTTAATAATTGACAATATTGTATGTATTAAAATAAAAGGCAAAAGGCAAAACTCTGAGAAATTAGATAAATATATTTCCTGGGATGGGAGGGGCCACGTAGATGGTTTCTAAAAAATTGTCTGAATTCATTTAACGTGAAGTGAAATTATGAGAAACTAACGACACATTTATTCTTCATTTTCAACTTTAAGACGTTACTACTATTTTGCTTCATTAATTCCCCCTAACTCCTTTTCTATTAAATATATTTACTCACAAATTCTCCTCCATTCCAATATTTTTCTTAAAGACGCAAGATGGCAAAGCTGGTGAGACTTGTAGTAATTGCCGCAGTTTCCATGTTTCTTCTTGTGACACCAATAGCACTAGCCATTGAAGAAGACTTGGACAATGATGTTGATCTGCTAGAAACGGATGTTATTGGTTATGATCAATCGGAATCCAACTACGACGAATTCGCTATATTCAGTTCCTGGTCCTAATAATAAACAAACGTTGGCACCTGAGCCGTACCCTGGATTTCACACACAAGTGGGAGAATGTTTGGAAAAGATTTCGGACGACTGTGGAGTGATCATTTTCAACAGGATATTTGATAGTGGAAAGTATAGCGATGTAGAAGAGTGTTGTGGCCAGCTTTTGATACTGGGGAGAAAATGTCATAACATTATTGTGGAGTCTACTCTTGACAGTCCTGAGTTGAAGGGAGTGAATAAAACTGAGGTTTGGGAAAATAGTGACAAGCTTTGGAAGGAATGTGGTGCTTATGCTCCCCTTTAATTTAATTTTCATCTCTCAAGTTTATGAATGACTCTATATGTTAATGCTTTCTAATAAATTGTTAAAATCATAATATGTACGTAACGCTTCTTCTTCTTTTTTCTGAGATATTATGTATGTAACGATGACAATGATTGTTTTGCTTTGAATAACTCAATGAACAGTACCCAATATAATTTTATCTAAGTACGTTATTTCATGGAGTATTTTTCTTTTTCATTTCGGGTTTTTCTGGAGTTTTTTTCGGATATGAGAGTATGATTCTTTCCACCTAAGGAAGTTGAGAGACATTCATTTCGTATACATCATTTGTTTGTAAAATAGAGCAAACTGAGGGCATGATTATTCTCATAGGAAATTAGTTCTCTGAAGTCTTAAAAACAGAGCGAATTTAATGGACAACGTTAAAAGAGCTTTTTAAGAACAATCGCATGCCTCTTCCCCCTATGTTGGTTGGGAAGATAAGACAAAGGATCAATGTCACATACTCAAAGCAACTAAGTATCATTTACAAGTAGTTAATGCATTATTATTTTCTATACATAGCTTCTGGTCATTTTACCCAAAAATGTGCTAAAAGAGGTAGATAAGTTATTGAAAATGAGCAGAGAATTATTATGGGTAAAATAGGTCCATGGTGTTTATATGAAAACAAAACAGAATATATGGACACACATACCTCCAACAGACAGTAGTTGGTGTTGGAGGAAACTCAATTCCCTCAAAGGATTGATGCAAGCTCAAGATAGATACATGATCACCTCATGAGTCAGGAGGAATATGTACAGTTGTTACCAAAAAAAAAAAAAAAAAAAGTCACAATTAAGTCAAAGTTTCGAAACAAAAGGTTGTGTGCTCAATTCATTGCTACTGAATTATTCGTCAATACCTAATACTTTAATGACTTGCAACCCTCTGTCGTTAGCAGAAAATAATTTGCAAAAGTTGTGGTTTGACGAATTTGCATTTCGAAGAAAACTTCATCTTGAATACTAATCGTCTGCCAAATTACCAGTTGGGGTTTGACGAGAATTTGCATTTCGAAGAAAACTTCGTCTTGAATACTAATCGTCTGCCAAAGTACCAGTTGGGGTTTGACGAGAATTTGCATTTCGAAGAAAACTTCGTTTTGAATACTAATCGTCTGCCAAAGTACCAGTTGCGGTTTGACGAGAATTTGCATTTCGAAGAAAACTTCGTCTTGAATACTAATCGTCTGCCAAAGT